TTTTGGAATGGAACTACCTCCTCTATGTCTATCCCACCATTATATTTTGTAAATAAATTAATAAACTTGATTTCACAGGTTCACAGCTAGAGGGTAATTTGTCTTAAAATGAATAATTCATTGAGTCTTCTGCATATTTCATTTAGATACTTACATAAAACATTGGACTTTAGACTTTTTAGTTGATTCTAGAAAGAGTTGAGTTTTGGGTTTGTTGGGTTGGAATTAATGTATTTTCCATATGGAAAGGACATAAATTTTGGTCACTGGGAGCTGAATGTTATGAACTGAATGGTTGTGCCTCCTAAAATTCATATGTTAAAACCCTACCCACCAATGTGATATTAGGAGGTAAGGCCCTTGGGAGTAAATGAAGATTAACTAATCAATCCTAATTAGATTAAGATTAATCTAATCCTAATAGGGTAGGTTAGAACCCTCAACCCTCATGAATGCAATTAGCACATTTATAAGAATCTTGACAGAGCATGCTTCTTTCTGCTTTTCACCATGTAAGAATACAAGGAGATGTTATCAGTCTGCAACATGTAAGTCAGCCCTCACCAGAACCTAACCATACTGGTATCCTGACCTTAAACTTCCAGCCTCTAGAACAGTAAGAAATAAATTTCTGTTGCTTATAAACCATCGTTATAGCAGCCTCAGCTAAGACAGTGTTTGTTTAGCTTATGTGCTTTATTATTGTTTTTAAGAATTCTTTGCATAGTTTGGATAACTGTACTTTATCAGATACTTTTCCAAATAACAGTACTTTTGCAAATATTGTCTCCCAGTCTGTGGCTTCTCTTTTCTTTCTCTTGGCAGTGTCTTACAGAGCATAAAGCTTTGAATTTAATGAAGTCCTGCTTATTAATTCTTTCTTTCATGGATTGTGTCTTTAATGTTGCATCTAAAAAATCATTGCCAAATTCAAGGTCATCTAGATTTTGTCCTATGTTATGTTTTCGGAATTTTCAACTTTTATATTTTACATTTATATCTGTGATCCATTTTGACTTAATTTTTATGAAGCATGTAACATCTGTGTCTAAATTCATTTTTTTTCCTCATGTGGATGTCTAGTTTTCCAGCACCATTTGTTGAAAAGCCTATCTTTTCTTCATTGAATTGTCTTTAGTCAACAGATAAGTTGATTATATTTATGTGGATCTATTTCTAGGCTTTCTGTTCTGTTCTACTGATCAATTTGTCTACTCCTTTGGAAATTCCACACAATCTTAATTATTGCAGCTTTATAGTAAGTTGTAGTCAAGTTATATCAGTTCTCCAACCTCGTTCTCCAATATTTTGTTGGCTATTCTGGGTCTTTTGGCTTTCAATATATACTTTAGAATCGGTTTTTCAATATCAATGTGATTCTTCAATGTGAAGAATAGCAAATGTGACCTTCTCATTCTAACTTCTATTCATCTTAAATTTTTCTTTCATGTTTTACATTTTTAATTTTTCTGTGCTATATTCTGTATAATATACTGAGCACTTCCATCCAGTTTATTATCTATCTATCTGTGCTTCATCTGATATTTCATCTCCCCAGTGAATTTTTGTTCTAAGTGATTAAAGTGACCATATATGGATGTTCCAGCCTTTATCCACCTAGCAACAGTCTCAAGACCATGTCTTATGATTATTTTCTACACATTTGTGTTAAAACCTATGTCAGTAATGTTTATAACTGAGTTCATTGACTCCAAGAGTATCTCCATTATCATGTGAGTTTACTATTATTTTCTAAGTTCTCTCTAAGTTCCTGACATCTGGAGATTTGCCTTTCTTTCTTTAAAGCTTATCTTTGTGCCTAAAAATGTTGTGCAATTTTATCGTGCATTTCTGTGTTTTTGATGTGTTTAATATTTGGGAATGGGATCAGGAGAGAAACCTATTTGCCTTTGATTATTCTGCCATGTTTCCAGAACCATTATTTGAATCTCATCCTCATAAAATACCTGGTCTTTGACTCTATCAAAAAATCTATTTAATCATTTTTTCTAGACTTATTTGTTGAACATATTTTGTACTAGAATCTGTGACAGACACTGGAGATACTATAATGAATAAAACTAAAAGCCATCAGAAAAATTATAGTGAGAAAGAGTATTGTTTGTTTCTACTGGCTCAGACCTTCTCTCACTTGGGCAAGTTACTATACTAAATGCAAATGGACTTTTCCAGCCTGACTGGCTTTTTTTCAGCCTCATTCCATTAGTGAAGACTTGACAAAATTGAGACAAACCTAACTGGATTGGTGAAGGTATGACTTTCAAAGATTGGCATCTGGTTTTATCTTTCCAGCCCTATTTTTAAATGACTAGTTGTGCTCTGTTGGCCAGAACATCTGTATCCTTAGTCTGGTAAGGTCTAATTAGTTCTGGTCCACGTAGGTTTCTTTAACCATTCAGATATACAATGAATTTAGCATATGGAACAGGGATGTTTGAATGAAGTCTCCATGGACTTATAAGAAACATGAACTTGGCAAATTAAGCTGGCTTTTGTAGAGACAAAAATCATCAAATTTTGATTCTCCCTCACTTGGAATATAATCTAAATTGTACAGGCCTGGCTATGGTGAGAATCTCATAAATGTAGTCCTAATTTCTGTACATATAACCAGAATCTCAAACATATTAGATCCTTAATAAATGTTTGTGTGACAGGGATAACATATTTGAACAATATTAATATACTTTCAACATCCACTCATGTGTGACCTTCCCCATATTTTGCACGATGTGCCTATTCCCCTCATTGTTCATGTATGCTGTGTGTCTTTAAGTATGTAAGTTAAGGGAGGGTATTAGGATTATAACAAAAATGCAAAAAAGAGAGTATCAATATTAAAATTTTAGCGACAAGAATAAGATTTTTGCCTAGTGCGTAGCACGACATAATCTTGAAAAGCAAGTGTTTTCAAGAGGGGGAAAAGCTTTAAAATTTGTTGTTAATATTTTTAATTTACAAATAATAATTGTGTATATTTTTAGATTAAAATGTGATGTTTGATGTATGTATACAATATAGAATGATTAAGTCAAGCTAATAACTTATCCATCATCTCACTTAACCATTATTTTTTTGTGATGACACATTTGAAATTAAAACACTTTTCAAAAGTTTTCTTTGACATATGGAGAGCCATGCTTGTGAAGTAGGTAGTTCATGTGGTGTCTTCCACAGACAATAGAGGAGATACTTCTTCCATTATTTAGGTTGAGGCTTAGTGTCTCCAGCAAGGGACACATGATTCAAAGGAAGTCCATGATAAAGAGGAAAATTGACTGAAAATCTGTCCTTTCTGCATCAAATGAATGTGGAGACAGTGGAAAGAGAATGGTGACAGCTGAGTAAACATATGTTTCAGGGTCCTTTTATTTTTCTAAAATAAAATTGCAGGGTAGGAGTATTGTTAGAGAACTTAAGAGAAAATCTAAAATCAGAGAGGTTTTGTTCTATGTCTTATTTGGGCCTCCAGAAGGAAACTGCCTTTCAGTGTTCCCTCCATTTCAAAATGAGGCGGCATCCACATCTCAGTCAAGGTGATATATGGCATAGTTAGGCAGAGGGAGGACATGAAGTTCGTTCCCAGAGTCGCCTTTGATTTCTGTTTGGTATAGTAGACTTTTAGAAGTTCCTGCATGTCCTGTGTAAATACAGAGAAGGTAATTGATAGTGTTGTCTGGAGAATCATCATGATGTTTGCTGAGGGCTGCATGGTAGAAAATCCTGAACATAGTTTTAGTGATTATAGAAAAATCAAGAAGCAACATTTTTTTCCTATATGAGTATAGTGTCCAAATGTGTGAACCCTTACACTTGCTGACAGAATATATAGATTAATAAGCCCTTTTTCTATCTTTGTTTGCTTAAACTAGCCCTAGTAGGTCATCTCTATCTACTAAGGCCTGCCTGTAGCAATCCATTAATCCATAAATGGATTAAAACATTCATGACCCAATTACCTTGAAAAGCCCCACCTCTCAATACTGCCATATTGGGAATTAAGTTTCAACATAAGTTTCAGGGAAGACAAGCATTGAGATCATGGCAGACATAGTGGCCTAAACACAATTTTTTAATGCAGCTGTGGTATGGTAGCCGTAGGAAACATATGCATCTCTTCTATGGGTCAATACTTAATGAAACCGAAGCAAGCCCAGATGTACCATCAAGAAGATGGTATTCAATCTCCACTTGTTTGACAAGACATGACTCTGGACGCAATCTGCTTATTAATACCAACCAGCTGTTACTGGAGCATTGACAAGCTAGGCTGTGATAGGTCATTTGACATATCCCTTACCTACTGGCTCACATTCTCATTTAATTTGACAGGCCAAGCTGTGTAGTGAGGATAATGGTTTAGGTAACTCACTTCTACATTTGTTTTGATATGGTGTGAATTCTAAAGATCCAACAGGACTGTATGAATGTTTTATAGTGTCTCTATATCTCCATTTCCACCTCTATATCTGGGGAAATTTATAATCTTCTATTTAAAATTAGAGATAATGGCAGGTATAAGAAAAAACGAGGAATTTTATTTTTGTATTTAACTATTGGGGAAATATAATATCAAGAAGTCCATCCAGGCCGGGCGCGGTGGCTCACGCCTGTAATCCTAGCTCTCTGGGAGGCCGAGGCGGGCGGATTGCTCAAGGTCAGGAGTTCAAACCCAGCCTGAGCAAGAGTGAGACCCCGTCTCTACTATAAATAGAAAGAAAACTAATTGGCCAACTGATATATATATAAAAAAAATTAGCCAGGCATGGTGGCGCATGCCTGTAGTACCAGCTACTCGGGAGGCTGAGACAGAAGGATCGCTCTAGCCCAGGAGTTTGAGGTTGCTGTGAGCTAGGCTGATGCCACGGCACTCACTCTAGCCTGGGCAACAAAGTGAGACTCTGTCTCAAAAAAAAAAAAAAAAAAGAAGTCCATCCAGGCTGTTCTTGATATATTCTAAAGCCACACTCTTTATAACCAGAGGAAATATATTTTATTTAAATTCAATTTATCAGAGTACAAATATCTTTCTACAATTTATGTTTATGTTGTTCTTTTTTAAAACTCAAAAGGTAGTAGTACATTTTATAAGTATCTCTCTGGATTTTATTTGTTGGTTTCACAAACTACAATACAAAGTCTGTTTAAAAGAGCTTATTATAGAAATTTTAAAATTGTACATTTACTTGAAAAGTTACTTTCATAAAGGTTCTTTTCAATATTTCATCTTAGTTTTATAATTGAATGAAATGGAGGTAAGAATTTAAAGATAAAATACTACTAAAATACTAGCCATTTTTTGTTTTTTTCAATTAAAAAAGTCTTTTTTTGTATATTGTATACATCCTTACCATTTTCTATGGGATAAATATAACATTAAAATAAAGGTATGTATTGATACATAAAAGACAACTGTAGAATTGACCATGCATATTGCACATTTTGGTGTTTCCATGTGTTAACATTGTGGAACATCTTCTCAATTTTAATGAATTTAAAAATTATCCTGTTTTTGAAAACTTATTTAACTTAATGATATGTGTTTACAGAGTTCACATAAATGTTTGAGGAGGACATTTCTTTCTATATAAATGAGGCTCTGACACTCTGAAGTTGAGGTCATGGTTTGTATCAATATGATAAATATTCACTATTTTATTGTATAGATTGTATATATGAAATTACAACAATATCTTACTGGAAACAAATCTAATAAGAAAATTTGTTAAGAAATATCAAATCTATATATGTGCTCTGGCAGATGGTTACTGAAAATGAGTAAGCTTGTGAAAAATTTGCCATACTATGATCAGCATTACCAATTATGTCAATGAGCCATATTTTTTCAGCCTTAACACAGTAAAATTTTTCCATTTGGTAAATGTGAGGTATTATTTAGATGGTTAGGATATTATCTGAATGAGAGAATGGTGTCTTACTAAAAATCAAACTTTATATTTTAAGCTTTAAGATGTTCTCTTTTATATTAAGTTATATTCCAGGTAATAGAGTACCTTTTTTGAAATTAAAAATGCTTTTAACTTCCAAGGCTCTTAATATGAAAATTACTAATGCTTTTATAACCTTAACACTTTGGCCTCCATCAATTTCATTAAATATTTCAACATTTTATAATAATGAGGCTAAACCTAGACTATTGAATTTCCCCTTATATTGTCAGCTGCAACAACACATACACTTAGAACTCATGTAATTCACGTTTAAAACTTTGTGTTGGATTCACAAATGAGAGCAATTATAACTACATATTAAGACAGAACAATAACTTTCCAATTTGATATTAATCACAGTAAATAACATGGTTAACTAACATGTGTTTCATCTCTCCTTTCTACTCTGTTTCTTGAAATTATCCAGTTTCATTCCATTTGATAAAAATAGATTTAGGGTAGCTTCACCACCACTACACATGCACCAGCTCTTCCAATGTTAACAGGAACTTCCTAGAACAAAAACAAAAAAAAGAAAAACTATTTGAAGTATACTTTTAGCATAATATGGAATGCTGGAGTTGAAAAAGTCCTTACTTATTCTGGTCTAACTTTACCTTGTATAAAGGTAAGGGAAATTGCAGCCCAGATAACAGTGTTTTGTGTTGGAAAGAACATAGCCTTTAGAAAGATATAGACCTTAGTTTGAGGATCAGGTGATCTTGGGTAAGTTTCACCATTCCGATAATTTTCTCACTTGAAAAGTTACAGCATATTTTACTCATCCTTCAAGGTTTTTGTGAGGGTTAAGTGAAATAAGGAATGACAAGAATTCGGCATATAGTATTTATAATACCACTATATATTAGTTCTCTTTCACTCTTTCAAGATCACACAATTATATAATTACAGAGCCAGGAAGAGAATCTAGGTCTCTTAGCTACTGGTCTTCAGAAAGTAAATTTCACAAGCTTATTTAAACGTTTTGATTATTGTATTTGACCCAACTCTTCGTTTGCTAATTTTTTTTCTTCCATTTCTGGTTGGTCCTAAGCAGTAATAAGGTAAAAAGCTACCTACATGGTAGGATATTAGGGTTTCTGAGAGTCATAATGAATCAGGAGGAGAGAGATAGAAGCCCATTATCAGCTGTGTTTATATTAACACCTAATTATTTAGAACAATAGCCAATTGTACCCTGTAGAATGCAGAGTAGCATGAAGTTAGTATAAGGAAAGGTGAAGTTAGATGCCAATTACAAGGTTTGCCTGTTTGTGGAGATGGGGGAGAGTTATTCATACTTCATTTTTTATTAACATGTTATTTAATTGACAAAATGCCATCACATATTTTGGAATACATCCAGGACTATCACTGGTAAGACTGTCAAAAGGGTCAAGTATAAAGTGTGTGATCCACACCACCAGGGGATTGGACACATTGGGGGGAGGGAGGGGGGCAGGGGCAATATTTGTAACCCTAACAATATTTGTACCTCCATAATATGATGAAATAAAAAAAGGGTCAAGTTAGCCTTTAACATCTCCAAGATGCCCTTTCAGTGCTCTTTTTTGTACCCTCCTTAGAATTTTTCCTATTAGATGCCCAGCAGGTTTGAGATAGTTTAATTCTGCTCTCTCACTGTACACTAAATTCCTTGAATAATTGAAGAAGTTAGAAATATTGCAGTTTACACAATCTCTGTAAGGAAAAGATTGAAGAATCTTCTGGGAAACAGCCAATAATAAGGGCAGACACTTGTGGAAGAGGACATTGCTCTTTGGTTCTCAAGTCATAATACCTACATGGAAAGTTGACCATGGTAAAGCTCTTGAATTAATGAATGTGATTCACTTCTCTTCTGTGAAGGGAATACTTCCATGAATTCAAGATAATGGTCTGTCCCCCTTCATATAAGTACTGATGGATCCTGTTAATGACCAACTAGACCAACTAGTAATTTTCTAAGACATAGATAAAGCACATACTATAAATTTTACTAAAACATCTGGTTACTCCCTAGAGAGAAATAAATAGAATTGACTCTTATATTTTCCTGGTTAGAGCTGGAACCCATACTACTAAGTGAAGTATCCCAAGAATAGAAAAATAAGCACCACATATACTCACCAGCAAACTGGCATTAACTGAGCAGCTCCTAAGTAGACACATAGGAACTACAGTAATTGGGTATTGGGCAGGTGGGAGGGGGGGAGGAGGGGATGGGTATGTACATACATAATGAGTGAGATGTGCACCGTCTGGGGGATGGTCACGCTGGAAACTCAGACTTGTGAGGGGAAGGGGGGAAAGGGCATTATTTGAAACCTTAAAATTTGTACCCCCATAATATGCTGAAATAAAAATAAAATAAAATCTATTAAAGCCTGAAATATGCTAATTTGAGTATTGTATGGGAGTACCTCTTTCCATTCATTTTTCTGTGCATCATATGACTCAACAGTGTTCAAATAAGTATGTCCATCATATCCTCCAACCACATAGAGCTTGTCTCCCAGGGGGCACACAGCAACAGCATCTCTAGGAACACTCAGAGGCGCCACAGTTGACCATGAATCATTCTTTGGATCATACCTTAAAAGATTGAGGAAACAATTAAAAGGGGGTGGCCATAGTGTTACAGTGGAAAATAATAGACATAAATAAAATGTACATATATCTAAAATATACAATTAAAATGCATTATAAATATCAAGTGTAAGTGGACTAAACATATTAGGGATATATATATATATATATATATAGAGAGAGAGAGAGAGAGAGAGATGTATATATATAAAACAAAATTCTCTTCTGCCACCAGAGGTCTCTCAAAGCATGCCAAAAAAGTATTTCCCTGCCCAGGATACCATGTGTTTCTTTTGCCAGTACCCAGATTCTCTTTGAGGAATTTTCATATATTGTGATCCTAACATTATATGAAAAATACTTCCTCTCTCATTTAGTATTCTGATTAAAGAGCTTTTGATTTTCTCTTATTTGTTCATCAAAGTTATACATGAGATACCTGATCCTGTTTATGTGAGATCTCATATTTTAAAGGAAACTTAAATATAATTGCCTTTTGTTTTAGTTTTGCTCTGTGAAATGTGTTACCCTGGTTTTAATACTATTTTCAGTTAGAATGGCCATGGTAGTATCCTGTCTTCTTTCTTTCTGAGAGTTCTTATTTATCTTTACATGAGCCTCGGATTATTTTTGCCATCTTAATCTGAATAATACTAAAACGTTTTCAGTAAGCAAAAGAAAAGATAATTCAGTTAAGTAATATTAATTAAAATTTTCTCTAGAAATTATTTCCTAAACTTTGAGGTCTATTTTAAAAATACATAACACTAAAATCTAAAAGGTGAGCAATAAAGAACACTAATATAATTATACATGGAAATACTCTATGATTTTATATTGGCCAATTTATAAAAGCCCAGTGGAAAAAACTTTCTTTTACAAAGAGATTTTCATGTATCACCTTCTACTAATTTACTTATATTTATATTACCTACTTTAATTTCTATTTTTATCACTTTAATCATAATCTAAATAATCTGATCTTAGCTTCCTTCTGAATTTGGCTTCACATGCATGATTTTATTTAATATTATCTGGAATCAGAAATAGTTAAGACAAACTCAATGCCCATTCTGTATTATTGAGTGTCATGCAGCATATTATCTTAAATTCTGATGTTTTAATAAAATCTAGAACATGAAAATCCATAGCTACATGCTCTAGCTAGGTTGAATCTTCAAAACAATAGCTCTTGTTAATTTATGCTGTACTCAGATAAAAGTTGTGTGCACATTTATATGAATGGTGAACCAAAACTCACAAGATTTCCTTATAGATTTGCATCTAAAGAGCCAAGATATTTCTGCATGGGCATAGTAATTACTGGTCAAAATCTGGCTAATGTTACTGTTTTCTGGATACTGCTTGTTGACAAGAGGTGTTTGCGGAATGTAGAATCTTTTGAAGAAAAGTAAAGTTGGCAATATGGTTACTATCTATAAAGACACACAGTAAAAGTTACTAAGGAAAAAGCTAGCCATCATATTCAAATTAAAATATCATAACTCCTCTCTCTTTTTGTTTATCTTTTCCTTTTCTGTCTACTCTTACTTTGGATATAGGTATACATACTCTAGTGAAAATAAAATTGAGCCTGAATTCAAGACAATTTGTCACAGATTTATTCTCCTACTGAGAGTAATTAGAGATAATCTGCCTCAATATTCTCATTAACATTATAGTAATAGTAATCTCTGACCCAACTAGTCTGATGGATTTAGAAACATTTAATTAAAATGATTATCTTAAATAATTGGATAACAGTGTCCTAAGGTACTGGCTAGGCCAAAGGTGTTTTAGTAGAAAATATTGTAAGGAAAATTGTTCAAGACTTGTAAATAAGGATTATATAATTCCATAGAGTGTGCATCTTTGATTGCCTTTCTACTGGCAAAGCTGTATTACAATTCTGCAAGTTAGAAGTTACTTTGTGAAATACTGAGTTTTCTTGTGATTCCATTCCATAGCAATACAAATAAATTTTGTTTGATAGATATGCATTGATTTTCACCATATAGAAATAATGACTCCCAAAGATTACATTTTATTGTTCTATATGATTTTAACTAGTTTTGTATCTGTGAAGAATTTTTTGTAGCATTCCTAATTGTGTAAATTTATTTTCTTCAAATACTCTTTTGCACTGTTTTTTAACATCTTAGGGTTATTTTATTAATCAATGAATCACATAAAATATTTGAAACATGTTCATTTTATATTTTTAATTTTTTTACTTATACATAATATTTGTACATATTTATTGGGTACATATGATATTTTGTTACATGCATAGAATACATTACTTTATGCTTGCATGAAAGCCACGATTTTAGATTTTTAAAAATTATACTTTAGCACTTGCCATTTTCTCAAGGTCTTTTAAAAGAAAATGACCATAAGGGGGTAATGATAATAATAATACCGAATCTAGCAATAATACTGATTAGTACTAAAAAGAACAATACCTAGAACTAACTTCTATTTAATATTTAATATATGATAGGCAATGGGCTAAGTATATTAAATTTTTCTATATTGTACCCTATGGAGATGATATTATTATTCACATTTTACAAAGAAGAGAGTAATGTTTAGAGATATAAAGTAACTGGATCAAAGTTAAATAACTAGTAAATAGTAGATGTGGAATTTGAACTCAGATCCATCTGACATCAAACTCAATTCTTTTAACTGACATACATATTTTCAGTATGTGTAAAGTTCTTTTTCTTGCTTTTTTAAAATTTTAAAGTGTGTGTGAATTTTAAAAATCAGTAAATTTAGAAATGTAATTATGTCAATAAATAAAGATAAACATTTAATTGTAGAATATGTATGCAAATATTTAATTTTGTAGTCTATACCATAAACATTTTTACAATGGCTTAAAATGTCTATATCAGTTTAAATAGGCATTAATACATACCACTCAAAATGTAGACTTGTTTTAACAAGTTTTGAGTCTACTGCATTGTGTTTTTTTTTAAAGGAAAATATTCTCCATAGCTACATACTTACTCACATATACTAAATGCTTAAAATTTGGTATACATGATGAAATTCTGTATCAATAAAAATAGAAATTATTGATTGAAAGTATAATTCTATCAGTTCTGATATAATATGGAAAACTTTTGATTTTATACTAAAATGGAAAGTCAAATATTATGGTTTTCATATTTTTACAAACTCCACATGTATAGAAAAAACCCTTTTGTTATTATTTGTTTTTCATTTAACCAGAGAGCGCCTCAACTTCCACGTCTGTAAAGTGACAAGGATGTACTAGATGTCCATGGCTTTTTCCAGTTGTAATTACACATAATTACAGTATCACACTTCTGTATATAGTAATAAATAAAGGGCAGAGAGACATAAGCTTTATCTTTTAAATATACAGGCAACTCAAAGTGATTTTCATGTAGTATTTATCATGTTGTCAATGTAGCATCACTTGAGAGTGATGTCAGCAAGATGGCAGACTAGGAAGCTCCAGACTTCATTCCTCCACAGAAACATTAACAAACAGAGACTGACTAAAATTACTTTATAAGAGTTCTGGAAATCAAAGATCCACAGTAATCAAGTGAATGGTCAGTCAAGAAAAAGCAACATTCAAATCAGTAGGAAATTGTATGGAGTTTTTATTTGTCCTTGACCCACCCCTTCCCAATATGAAGTGATGCAGATAGGGGAAGCAGTGGCCCAACTCCAGCTCCTTTCTTCCACCCTGAGAAAAAAAGAAGACCTAATATGCTGTTATCTGTCTAGGTGCTGCCTAATGGATTAATCTCTATGGCACAGCTTAGATCTCGGGCCAGGAAAAGCTGTGGTAAACAGCACACATGGTTCGTGAAAGCCATAGGGAGACCAGGGATGTGCAGATAAATGGGGCAAGAGATTATGGATTAAGTCCCTGATAAACAACAGGGCTCAGTCTCTTAGGGAAATTTAGACATTTAAAAGTAGCCATGTATTTGGGGAATCAAACTCTGAACTAAAAGAAAAATCTTAAGGCTCTTCCTGCTAGCTGAATGAATGGACCCCCTCCTGGCCAAGAGAATATCTTAAACTAAATTGCCTGCTAGGAGGAGGGAGGTCAGTCATGCCTCATCATGTTCCCCTCCCTTCTTGGAGATATCCTTTGTAACTCATTAACCCGCCTAAGGTTATGCAAGACAAACCTGCAGGTCCTCAATTTACACAACAAATATATGTCCAGTGGCTTGTCTCTGATTAACAGACCTCCTTATCTTAAAACATTCCAAGCCTTAGACAAAGGTTCATGTCTTGGACCAATTACAAGCCAAAGAATGTTTAAACCCACCTATTACCTGTAATCTACTCCCTACCACCCGACCTCCCCACTTCAAGGTGGCCCACCTTTTTGAGCCAAATCAATATATGCCTTCCATGTATTAAACCTGTAACCTCTGTCTCCCTGAAAAGTATAAAGCCAAACTGTAACTCAGCCACAGTAAGTCCACTTACTGAACTCTTCTTGGGCATGGCTCTGGGTCATGGTCCTCAAATTTGGCTCAGAATAAACCTCTTTAAATAAACAGAGTTTCTTTCTTTTCTATTGACAACACACATGCGTGTGTGCACACACATACATACAGAGGTCCAGAAAACATGAATGCCCAGAAAATACATGAAAAGATCTCGACCCTTCATGCTGGGATGATCTAAGGCACAGAACACGACCTGCTAATTAGTGATGTTCTTCTAATGCATGAAGCCAATCTGCAAAGATATGGAGAGGTGTCTGTATTTTCAAATGCCCAGTTTTCAACAAAAGATCATAAGGCATACAAGGAAATAGAATAAACAATGTCTACTCAAAATAATAAGATAAATCTCCAGAAACTATCTCTTTAGCAACACAGGGATCTGAGTTACAAGACAATTATATAACTACCTTAACTCAGACCTAAAAGCAAACCACAAAGAACAGAAAATGATATATGAATTTAATGAGAATGTCAACAAAGGGAAAATTATAA